CACTGGGGGCCACAGTCCGCAGCGCCGCTGCCGTGTCGACCGCACCGATGTCACCGTGCCGCGCCTCCCGCCCACTCATCGCTGGTTCCGCCCCCCCCCCTCGTGAGTGCGCGCGAGCCCGCACGGCCCCGCGCTGGACCTGTGGCTCCATAGCGTTGCCCCTCCCAAGCGCTCCTCCACGTGTAGCACGGGCGCCCCCTCCTCTTCCTCCCCGCATCGAACGCCATCGCACTGCAGGCGGCCGTGCCCCCGCCGGGCTGCCGGGGATGGATGGGCGCACCGCCTGGCCGCCGGCCAGCCCACAGCTGCGCGCCACACAACCGCTGATGACCATGCCACCTCCCCCGCCATCGTCCACGCTATCCCATCTCCGCTGCCATGCCCCTCAACGCTGCCCCTCCCTAGTGCCTTCCCCGCCGCCGCTCGGCCTGCCCTGCTAGAGTTGCGGCTGCGGCTTCTGCTCGCCGCCATGCGCGTGGCCGGCCCGTTGCAAGCACCTATGGTCGCTCCCTTCGCCCGAGCCCCGAAGCGCCCCTGCCATCGACTGCGCCATGGCCGCCCATCGGGTCGCTCCACCGGCCACGCCCGGCCGAACTGTTGCCGCCCACGCGTGTGGCCGGAGCCACCGTTGCCCCCATGCGCCGCCCGCCGTCTCCGCTGCCGGCGTGCCGCCCCATCGGCCGGCGCACTGCCTCCACTACGCTGCTTTGTTTCAAGGTAGAAGAGGGACTCAAGCGCAAATAGAACTCTTTACCGTGTTCATTTTGCAAAAATGCTAGACTCATAAATTTACAAGTAAGGGCTTAGTTAATTGAGGGAAAGCTTAGGGGCCTTCATGCAAGTTGGCCACCATGCCTGGGCTCATCCACGTGGGCCGGCCGCTTCTGGCTTCTTTGGGCATTGTCTGCACACGCTGGCCGCCTGCGTGCCGTATCTGGCATGGCACATTGGGTCTGACTGTCGCCGCCCTTGGCGCTGGGCGCTCACGCCCCGTCGCACTTCCACCCCCCCTGCCTGGCCCGCCATTTGGACTGGTCAGTGAAATGGGCCGCTTTGGGCCCAATGATCCTTTTTCTTTTTCGGTGTTTTGTTAATTTTAGTAATCGGCTGAATGCTTGGAAATTCATAGTAAATAGTAGAAAAATCATAAAAAGAAAAATTAATATGTTTTGGAATCCTTGTTACTAGCTCTATGCAGTAGACATATTATATCATATGCTTTAGAGTAAAGTTTTTGGTTGTTTGTGCAATCTAGCCTTTATGTGTATTTAATAAAGCATGTTCTATTAGTCCAAGTGTAGTGAATTTTTTATGATAGACTAGTGTTGATATGTTTGCGCTATGGTAAAAGTTCTAGGTGTAGTGGATGCTTAATTACTGAGTTATTGATTTATTTCATAATACGCTTGTTTAGTGGATTTTAAATTACTAAAAGAAGATAAAATAGAAAATGTGACTCCGCTATGAAATTTTACTATTGATGTGTTCTCTTAACCCATAATAGCTGGGCACATTGATTCACGAATTGCCGGACGATCCGGTACAGCTTGTCTATAGTCTAGCAACGTAGTAAAAACTAGAAGATGAAAGATGGTAAAATAAATCTAATTGCTTACCACCTGCTTGAAAGTAGCACATGTGCTTACATAGAATGGTTCGTTAATGAACTAATGCTGATTGCTAATAAAATTGAATATAAGGACGCACGCTTAGTAATGCTTCCTGCAGATGCAATAAACTCACAAGCCAGATAGCCTTGCATACTCTTGGAGTCTTTTCTTTTTTCCTGTCGGGTAAGGCTTGCTGAGTACAATTGAGTACTTAGGGTTTTATATCCCCCTGTTGCAGGTGACAGGCGGATGCTTGAGCTGACCCTTGTGTGTGGATTCCTCCTGGTGGGCTCAGAGGGGATTCCTTTACGCTGCGATCATAGTTTTTATTTATAACTCTCACTAAATGTTTTTATAAATAGAAGTTTTTAATCTGTTGTCATTGTTGTAACTCTGATCACATGTTTATATTCCGTTGTTAAATTAAATTGTTCATAACTCTGATAACGTGATCATATTATGCTATTATAAATAATAAGTATTATACTTAATGCTGCATGAAAAGTGATGTAAGAAATGACTAAAATGTTGTAAGCTTTATTCTCTCATTGGTGATCCTGATGGAAAAATGTGGATTTTCGGGTTCTTTCTTGGGTGTGCTCGACGGAACTGCGTAATTTAGTGTTCTCCCTTGAGTACTTAGTGTCTAATGAAAGACTAGTACTTATGGGAGGCATTAGATTAGGCGGTTCTTCCACAATGTAGGAGCCATAGGCCTGTCAAGTCGGCTGCTCAACAATCCAGAGGTGCTCCTTGTTAGTGCCGAGGAGCCACCGACGTTCGTAGTGGCTGAACGCGATGCTAATTGGCGACGGGCGATGTTGGAAGAGATGAAGGCCATCGAGGACAATGGCACATGGGAGCTGGTAGATCCACCAGTGGGCTGCAGGCCGATCGGCTTGAAGTGGGTCTACAAGGTGAAGTGGGACGAGCGCGGCGCCACTGTCAAATACAAGGCTCGGCTCGTCGCCCGCGGCTTTATGCAGCGTGAGGCCATCGACTTTGAGGTAGTCTTTGCTCTGATGGCGCGAATGGAGTCCGTTCGCTTGCTGTTGGCCATGGCAGCAGCGAAGGATTGGCGCGTCCACCACTTCAACATCAAGTCTGCGTTCCTCAACGGTGAGCTCGCAGAGATGGTCTTCGTCAAGCAAGCTCCGGGCTTCGCCGTCAGTGGCCCTAAGCACATGGTGCTCAAGCTGCGTAAGGTGCTCTACGGGCTGCGGAAGACCCCTTGGGCGTGGAAGGCCAAGCTCGACGCCACCTTGGGCGAGCTTGGGTTCACTTGCTGCGCTACAGAGCACGCGCTCTACACGCGGCGATGGGGGGAGGAGGAGCTCGTCGTCGGTGTGTACGTGGATGACTTAATCATCACCGGAGCGCGAGCAGAGGACATTGATGGGTTCAAGCGCGAGATGGCGGCTCGTTTCAAGATGAGCTATCTCGGCACGCTCTCCTACTACCTCGGCATTGAGGTGAGACAGGGGAAGCAGAGCATCTCCCTAGGACAGCGCGCCTACGCGGAGAAGCTACTGGAGCGCCGCGGCATGGCAGACTGCAAGCCGTGCGCGACTCCGATGGAGGAGCGGCTGAAGCTGAGCAAGCACAACACTGCTGCGAAGGTGGACGCGACGCGCTACCGGAGTATCGTCGGCGGGCTGCGCTATCTCACTCATACCCGACTAGACATTGCGTTCGCGGTTGGGTATGTCAGCCATTTCATGGAGGACCCACGCGAAGATCACTGGTCGACAGTGAAAAGGTTGCTACGCTACGTCAAGGGGATGCTCGATCAAGCGATCATCTTTTCCAAGAGTGGCGGCAAGGGAGGGTTGCGGCACATGGTGTTTAGTGAGACACCCCCAAGGCAAAGGAAGGTGAGCCGGAGCAACTTCGGCGTGCTCGTCTTCTTTGGAGCAACCCCCATTGCTTGGCAGTCGCTGAAGCAAAAAGATTGTGGCGCTGTTGACGTGTGAGGCGGAGTACGTCGCAGCGGCCACGACGGCGTGCCAGGCTGTCTGGCTATGCCGGCTGCTGGGCGAGCTGACCGGCGAGGAAGCTCACCCGCCAGCTCTGATGGTGGACAACTAGTCTGCCATCACCCTCGCCAAGAACCTTGTCCTCCATGACCGGAGCAAGCACATCGACATCAAGTTCCACTTTCTCCGGGACTGCATCGATGGAGGGAAGATCGTCATCGAGTTTGTCAAGACCGGCAGACAGCTCGCTGACATCCTCACCAAGTCACTCAGACGCCTGCGGTTCATGGAGCTGAGGAAGATGATTGACATGGATGAGGTCAAGGCATCGGGCTAGCAGCAGGATTAGAGAAAGAATTGTTAGACATAATCTGCTGCTCCCCATTTCTCCTTGGTTGGAGACTAGTCGGCTCAGCCGACCACTCCCTGTTGGGAGTTGGGACTGATCGGGTCTGCCGACCAGTTTCTGTAGCTGTAGCAGTATTGTAATAGGCCACCTCTAGTACATTAGTTGGTAGCTATTACATCAGCTATGTCTTGATAGTGGGCTGAGGTAAGCTTTGTACTGCTAGGAGTAGTTGGTATACTCTGTACCTTAGGAGTAGGTAGTTGGTGTACTAGTTGGCCAACAACTATGTACCTGGTAGAGGTACAGCTAGAGTTGTATATATTCCATCCAAAGGGCAATGCAATACTAAGTTCAGTTACCACAAACCAAAGGACAGGGCTTCGGACAACGTTGGTGCTTATGCTGAGTGTGTGTACGCGTTGTTCTCAATCTCTTCTTCTACTTCTAGCCATAATAAGTGAGTATGTGTGCTAATAAACTAGTTGCTTATCTGTGTAGGACAGCCAGGGATCAACAGGTCTAGTCTCAATCCTAGTTATTAGACCGGGACCGCTCATCGAAACGGCGGCAGTCTTTTTTCAATGGTTTACTCGTTCGGCCATTAGAAACCGGTTGAACGCTGGTTCAATAGTTTTTTTTTTAAGTTATAAGAGAGGTTGAGGGTGTGTCAAAAGGCCGTTTGCCCACTTCTGGCCCCTCACTGAGTCACTGATCCACTACAACCAGGAGCGGCGCCTGTAACCAGATGCTAGTTACTGTGCTACAGACTCATGGTTGCTAACAAGTTACTGTAACGGTACCAAATTGTTGAAAGAAAATTTGTAAAAACACCACTGACAGACTGCTAATTACTGTGAATATCTCGAAGACCATGACCCATACATATTTGTTTGGCGGCGAGAGAAAGCGTAGACGAACATAATAGCAATAGCAACACCTCCAGTTCCGCTGCAGTTCTATAACCTCGGCAATCTGTGATCGGCTAGCTCCACACTGCTGTGAATAATAAATACTTACAATGTTGATTTCTCAATCCATTATTTACTCGCACAATCAAGGTTATCATCAAACCACTTGCTCCTTGGGTCTAATCTCAATGCCCAGGACAACAAGGCCCCTCTTCACGACCGACGTCTCCATAAGGCCGATGGAAACCTCACCATCGTCGCCTTCACCGTTGCGGAACTCACCTACCTCCACCTCCATCCAACCATCACCTCTCTCTCGAGGAAAGAGTGCGTCTTCTTGAGGAATGTCGCCACGCATCGACGGCCAAGTATCCACGCGATCGTGGCCATCGTCGAGACAAACGCGGCGCGTCGACCTGCTGCTGTTTCCTTCGAGGCTGACAGACGTCTCCAGGCATGGGAAATGAAGCCCGCGGCGCCCTTCAGCTACTCTGAACACGATGTAAGCACTATATGTTGTGTGTTGGGAGAGCATCTTGCTGTGGATGTTGCCACGTATTTCCAGCCACCAGACATACTGGAGTTCAGCAGCTTCCGAGAACCTGTCACAGATTAGCAACAACATCATTGTTGGCTAAAGCAATGGATGCAGACAAGTGATTCCATGGCATGGCATGGCATTAGCCGAGCTTCTTCAACTATTTAAATTTGTATCAATCAATGCAATTATCCCCAAAAAAATTGGCTAGAACAAAAGCATGGACAGTGCAATTCAGTAACACAACTTTAACTGCCCTATATTGTGACTTGTTAGTGAATAGAAGTACACTTTGCTTTTGTAGCGCAAAGAAAAGCATACCTAGTTCATTCATCAATGCCATAGCATTCATCAACATAATACTCCGTAGAAGAAGCACTAGCGAACTAAACGCCTACTGACAGTGCGTTTCAGAATTTCAGAAATATGGAAAGCGACATACATGTGATCTGTGAGCGAGATAGATAGCATGCAAACCTGTAGAGGTTGATGGGGATCCAGCGCCAGTACCGCGGCGTATCGCCCCAAGCAATGCCCAGCTTCCTGGCGGACAGCATGTAGCACCTGGCGCCGGTCGCCCTGTCCAACAGCCTGTTCGCTTGCTCGTAAACGATCGTAAATTTCCAGTTAGAAATAGTATTTTTCTCTCACACCAAACCAGCCAGCAGTAAATAATCCACGATATGATATAGCCTTACCGAGCTACAGTACTTATTAAGACGTAAACAGGAGCGGAGTCCGATTGGCGATTACCGTGAGGCGGTCGGCGAGGAGGACGGGGCTGCCGGGGTCCGAGAGTCGCATGAAGAGCTGCTTCTTGGTGGACTGCAGATCGGCGGGTAGCTCCAGCTCCCCGTCGGCGACCGGGGGCAGGTCGCGCGGCAGGAAGCTGGACCAGACGACGTCGGCGTCGGCCGCGGCGCGGAAGGCCGGCGATACCGCGGCGGCGCGGCAGGCTTCCCGCGGCCCGGTCCGGGCGAGCGTCGCCGACAGGAGGTCATCCGGCAGGCGCGCGATCTCGCAGCAGGCGGGCGCCGTCGACTCCATCGGTTTCGGTTCCCCCGACGCGATGTGGGGAACTGGGGATCAACACAGGACAGGGCTACAGCTACAGCTAATGGAATGGAAGAATATAGTTGGGCCGGCCGGACGCAGACAAACGCTAGCTTCGGGCATGGCGAAGGAATTCGATTACAGTATAGTACAATACAGCAGCAGCCAAATTCGAATCGGAGGGGAAATATGTTCATGCAGGGCGTGAGGCGATGACATGCGGGGTCCCGAGCGGACGTCGTCTTGCCCGTCGCCGTCAGGGATCTCGGGATGCACGCGTGTTCGCCGATTCGTCGATCGCCCGGCCGAGCGGATTTCCGCTGCAAGAAGCGTCGTCTCGTCCATCACGCCGAAGCAGAACTACGCGCCTACGCCCCCCATGTTGCGGGCCGTTCAATTTGTGCCATTTCTGATACGAGCGAGTTTCGGCCCACACCGCCGTTTGCCGATCAAAGCCCCGTCCATCTACCACATCGTAAAATGGGAGGCCTTAGCTGCCCCAAAAGACTTTGGTGGGTTAGGTTTTGTGGATACCAGAGCCATGAACACTGTTGCTAGCTAAATGGATCTTCAAACTGGACAAAGGTGGAAACAATATGGCTCTAGAGGCGCAGAAAGTATCTTGAGGACAAGAGTTTCTGTCAAAGTAAACAAAGAGGAAGTTCTCAATTTTGCCAAGGTTTGGAAAAAGCTAGAGAGTGGTATGAGAAAGGAACTAGATGGAAGGTGGGTAATGGAAAGAAGGTTAGATTCTGGCATGACATTTGGCTAGGCAACTGTCCTCTCAAAATTGAATTTCCAAGACTGTACAGAATCAACAGACAACAAGATTTTTCTGTTTCAGACCTGAGAGAGGTGGACTGGAATCTTGATCTAAGAAGAAGATTAGATAATGAGAAGTGGTTGAGTGGAATGATCTTCAGGAGGCTCTGGAGTTAGCTTTTTTTCCAGGAGGGGAAGATGAGGTGATATGGGCTGGGCCTTGGAGGCTTCCGGAGAATTCACAACTAAATCTTTGAACAGGCTCATGAAGAACAGTGGTGAAATTGATCTAAGAATGATAGAGTTGTGGAAAACTAAACTTCCCCTAAAAATCAGGATTTTTTATGCATGCTTTGGCACAATAGAGTACAAACTGGTGATCAACTCAAAATCAGGAAGGGCAACGGTTCTGAGAGGTGTAAGTATTGTGGGATTGGAAACAAGAAATCACTTGTTTTTCAACTGCCATATTGCCCAAGTTATCTGGGTCGGGGTTAGGATTAGCATAAGGTGGTCTGAGAGACCAACTTTGATTCAACACTTTGAAGATAAGATGGGGATTGGTTTAGGCCCTATTAGAGATAATTCTATTTTCTTTATCTTAGCTAGTGTGGTTTGGAGTTTGTGGAAAACAAGGAATGACTGGGTTTTTAACAACCAACTAATAAAATCTCCTAAAGTCATTGCCCTCAAGATAATGGGTTTCATGTCACAGTGGAAGAAGCTTCTGAAGCTAGAGGAGATGCTGAAGATGGAGGATACTATCAAGAAGCTCCAAAGAAGGCCTGCAGGCGTGGTGAACCTGATTGTCTGAGTGAACGCAAGATAGCCATGTGGAATGTGGAGGTGTTTCTTATCTAGAGGTGCTCTAAGTCTGTGAGGTTGTTAGTCTTTTGGTCTGGACGCTGTGAAGTTTCAAGTTACTTTGCCTTCTCGTCCAGTTATCTGTTTAGAGTGCCTTTTTTCTTTAGTTCCTTACTACTGCTTTTGCTTATCTTTCGTTGTTTCTTATGGTTGTGTAAGTGCTAAACTTTGTAAGATGGCAATCTCAGTAAAACGATATGCTTTCAATATAAGCAGGGCCAAGGCCTTTGGTGTAAAAAAATCCCCGTCCATCAGTTTAGGCCCAGCTTTTTAACTGTCACCGCGGGGGGGAGATAATCCCCAACTGAAATATTGATATCAACAGCCTCATTTCTAGAGAAAAACGAGGCAAAACCTTTTTGTCCGATTAATTTTAGAAAATCAGATTAAACCAAAACAGCAGCCACACCACAAGGGTGAGATCGTGGCAAATCCATGAGAAAGAGAGATGGCGACAACAACAACAGACACCCTATCACAAGGGCGAGAGGTGGCACAGCCACTAATTACAATGAAAAGTGAAAAGATCAAACACTAAGGCACGAGAGCTTCTTCGACGATGCCTCCAAGAAGATGAATGACACCAAAACGTAATCATCGTCAGCCAAGCAAGGGCCATCTGTAGCTGCTCACTGAGTCACCTGGTCCATTGCCTGTAAGCAGATGCTAACTAGTACTACTACTGTGTTGCAGACGCATGCTAACAAGTTTCTGCAACGGTACAAGATTGTTGAAAGAAAATGCAACCAATGTGCACTCTTGACGAGTGCAAGCAGCACTGGGAATCGTTGGGGCACAATACCACTACTCCTGGTCGCTCACTCGTGGCAGCAAGAGCCGCGCCCCTAGCTTCTCATTCTCATCATCTTTTTGTTTAAAAAAAAAGAAAGCAGAAGCGCCACCAGTTAACAATGGTAAGCAATATGAAAGCATACAAGATTGTTGAAAGAGTATAAAAAAACATCCACTGAAAAGGCTAATTGTTAAATGAATATCTTCCAAATAACCATATGTTTGTTTCTGCAGCGAGAGAAAAAGGGTTCCGCTAGTGCCATTATTCTTAACCTCCGCAATTATGTGATCAGCTCCAACACCCTGCTGTGAATAAAGATTATTAAGAATTACAAAGTCTGACTCCTCTCTACTACCGATTATTTGCTTGCATAAAGTTCTCAAGCCTCTTCCCCTTAGCAGTGATCTCAATTCCCTCAAGCCTCTTGCCCCTTAGCAATGATCTCTATGCCCAGGACAATGAGACCACTTCTCCTGAATGATGTGTCCACAAGACTGATGGATACCTCGCCGTCGTCACCTTCACCACTGTGGAAGTCACCCAACTCCAGCTCCATCCACCCATCAGCCCTTTGGCTAGAGAACCTTGGATAACCAAGGAGTGCACCACACGCTCTGGAAATACCACCACGCCTCATCTGCCATGAATGCAGATGCTCGAGGTCGTGGCTATCCAGGAGAACGTCGCGCGTCGACATGCGTCCTCCGAGGCTGATAGTGACAGGCGTCTTCTGGCATGAACCAAAACAGCAGCACCCGTCATCTACCCCCAGCACAATGTAAGCAGTATATGTTGTGTGCTTGGACAGCATGCTACTGTTGATCTTGCCATGTATTTCCATCCGAAGGCCACTCCAGCACTTGGCAGCATCCGAGAATATCCTGTTCACAAATCAACAGAGGTTAAAATTCTGTCACAAAATATAAGCCATGCACGTATTTGAATATTTAAACTTTGTTATCTTTGACAAACAATTAATCTAATAATATGGAAGTTTATACTACAGAAATGGTTACATTGATTTATATTGATAAATACTTTCTAATGTTCAAACCATTGTTGCCATAAATTATATATTATAATAGAAATTAGCAATCAAAGTATAAAGTATGGTTTTGAAGACTGCACCAAGTTAAATCGTGCCTTATATTTTAGGACTAAGGGAGTAATCGAGAACTAGAGCAATATTAGGGTTTAAGGCATAAAAGGCATAAAGAGTAAAGAAGTTAAAACATAGGTTGATGTGGTGTGATCGGATCCCTCAATCGATTGTGGCCCTTTATATTTATAGGGTGGGTGGTCTTATCCGGTGGGGAGTCAAAATTTCTATAAAATCCATGCAAAATACAATTCAAATTTAGCGCATCTCCGAGAGTACCCAAAACAGTCTCCCAATTCAGGAATTTTGGCAAGATTAAAACAAACTCATCTCCAACAACTCCCAAAGCCACCTCCAATCTCTTGGCACTTGGAAAAAACCACCCCACATGTGGATATGTACACGCGTGTATCATCACGCCAATCCTAAGGTGGAAGGACGTGAGGAAGAAAAATAAGTAGGACAAGGTTCCTAATGCAAATTAATGTACAATAGAGAAAGAAAGTATAAAAGTGGTCGGTGTGATTTAGAAAATAGTTTGAGATTACTGATGTAAAAATACTTTCTATTTTTTAGGAGCGATATTTTAGAAACTGTTGGAGGAAGTTCTTAGGACATGTTCGGAACTGCTCACTCCCAACTTTACTAGCCAAACTGGAACAACTCCACAAACTCTTCTCCAGAAAAAAGGTGAAGTTGAGGGCCAACTCCAGGTGTTTTGCGTGGCACCTAAAGGGGTACTCTGGAAACTCCAGATTTTTATGGAGCTGCTCCATGTTGGAGTTCGTGGAGTGGAGCATCCCAAATCCGGACTCCAAAAACTTTCTATATATGGATTTTGATTGTCTTGGCAAGATGAATGCAATAGTGAAGTCCAATTTGCAATTTGAGACACTCCAAAACCCCATAAGCCAATTTTCCCAGAATTAGCCTTATTTAGCCAATTTTGAGTGCAAACCAGTACTAAATAATAACTAAATTACCCACTCACAATTCGCATCAAAACTTCAGAAATGGCAAGCAACCTGTGTGTGTGTGTGAGAGAGAGAGAGAGAGCAAACCTAGAGCCAGTGATTGGGATCCAGCGATAGTTGATAGGGATCCAGCCATAGCCAGCGATAGGGACCTCGCTCCAATCAATGTTTAGCTTCCTTGCAGACAGCATGTAGCACATGGCGCCGGTTTCCTTGTCCAGCCAGATGCTCTGAACACACACCACACCAAAGATTAGTCAGTCATCCCAGAATCACATACTGCATAAAACTTAGACGTGAACAAAAGTGGTTCTTGTAGTACTGTGAGGCCATCGGCAAGGAGGACTGGGCCATCGAAGAGCTGCATGAACAATGCCTTCTTGGACGGTGCCAGTGGAGAGAGCTCCCCAAGGGCCGACAGTGGGAGGTTGGACGGTAGGAAGGAGTTCCAGACAATGTCAGAGTCCGCTGCAGTGTGGAAGGTCGGTGAGACAACCGCAGCGCGGCAGGCGTCCCGTGGCCCAGTACGGGCAATCAACGCCGAGATGAGGTCCACTGGCAGGCGTGCAATCTCACAGGCAATGGTAGTGGCGGTGGCGACTGATTCCATCATCGTGTCCATCGATTCCTCTACTTACCTGCTTTGTTTCCGCGTTCGATAAATTCGATTTGGGGGAATGGGCCACATAGCGATTAAAAATGCAAAAGTAAAAAGTGAGTTAGAAATCATAGAGCGAATTTTATAGATGGAGGAGGCAGTGATTCAGATGGCATTTTAGGAAACCACAAACAAGAATGAATGAACGCCAGTTCAATCCATGCGCACAACAACAGACCAAATCAATTTTGCATCCAATACATCAACACCATACCATTTGTAGTACCGCAAAACAAAAACCACCATAGCATCTATAGTACTGCAAACAAGTCTACCAAGCAAGAACCAAAAGAGATATGAGGAAGGGGTAGAGTGCTCCACCAACCCTTGGTTACCCTACCTGCAACGAAGGCGGCGCCTTGACAATCGACTCGTTCTAGGTTGCGGCGAGGTGACAAACCCTAGAGTGGCGGCGGCAATGGGTAAAGTGAGCGAGAGGAGACAAGACGGCACAATGAGGAGAAGAATATGGTAACCCTAGCACCAAACCTCGGTTTTGTTCACGACACTATGCATATGGGCCCACTCAATTTGTGTTCAAGTGGGCTGCCCTTGCGGCGCTCTTTGGAAACAAACCTAATAGGTAAGGCTTTAGGCCTCCACTAGGTAACTAAACAAGCCCACGCTACATCAGGGAACCCTGTCTAGGCCCTTAGTAGAGGTCAACCAAACATGCACTTAGAAGAACTCCGATGGGGCCACTACTCCATTTTAGGTATGGCCCCTTCTTTTCCAAGCCCATACTCTCAGGGGCACTTTTCTTTCTGTTGGGAAGGTTTTTTCTTGAGTAAATTGAACTGTGGGTCCTTAAACTTTTGGTGGATTCCCATCTAGATCCTCAAACTAAAAATTTTACCATCTAGGTCCTAAATCTACTTGTCCCGTGCACCATTGGTCCAAAACACGCCATGTGTGTGTGTCAGGAACCGACATGGCCATGCCATCGTGGCGACTAGACGCGGGCTCATTGCCCACTTTACGAAACCCCCCCCCCCTCTCAGTCTCACTCACAAGTCACAAGCCTATCGTCTCTCTCTCTCTCTCTCTCTCTCTCTACTGAAGCATCGAGCCACCGCCTGCCTCCCCCAAGGTCATCGTGAGGTCCGAGCGCCATTTGTGTCCCACCTCTACCAGCGGCCATGCATGCATCGATGCCACTCCGTAGCTCATCTTCTGGCCTAGATCACCAAAAGTGGTCTGGCGCTTGTAACCAGACCACCCCTGACGCCGACTCCATAGTCAGCTCTGATGTTCTCTACCTCTTGGAGCACCAAATCGTTTGAAAGAGCGGCATACCTATCACCTGGACGTCCGGCCCCCTGGCGGCATCCGAACATAGGTCCCAGATAGCGTCCCTACCCCCGTGGCAGAACCGCCTAATCTAATGCCCTCCCAAGAGTACTTGTCTTCCATTGGACACTAGGTACCCAAGAGAGTGCACTAAATTATGCTGTTCCGTCGAGCACACCCCAAGAGAGAACTAAAAAATTCACATTTTTCCATCAAGATCATAAATGAGAGAATAAAGCTTACAACATTCTTAACCATTTCTTACATCACTTTATTACAACGTTAGAGTACTTAAACAAGTTGAATGCAATAGCAAAATTAAGATAGTTTTACATGTAAAAGAATTTATACATTTTATGTTTACATTTTTATCTTGCAGCGGAGAACAACATATGATCAAAATTACAGTGGAAATAAAGATTAATGGTGAATCATAAAACTTTTCTTCTAGAACTTTTAGTGAGGGTTATAAATAAACACTACGGTTGTAGCGTGAAAGGAATCCTCTCTGAGCCCACCAGGAGGTTTCCACACACAAAAGTCATCTACCATCCATCGGTCACCTGAAACAGGAGGAATAAAACCCTGAGTACTCGATTGTACTCAGCAAGACTTACCCAACAGGAGAAAAATAAAAGACTCCAAGGATATGCAAGGCTTATTTGGCTTGTGGGTTATTGCATCTACGGAAGCATTACTAAATATGTGTCCTTATATTAAATTTTATTAGCAGTCATTATTAGTCCATTAACTATCCATTCTATGTAAGTACTGAAAGGATCAAGATGTCCAAGAGGGGGGGTGAATTGGGCTAATTCTAAATTTTCTTTCAATAATTACATCCTATTGATAGCCCAATTAACCCCTTATGCCTAGAAAGTGTTTGTAATGTTCTGTCGCACAAATAGACTTGCAACCTAAGTTCCAATCCTACTCTAGCATGACAATTCTAGGAATGTAAATGACAAGAATTGAATTGTTCAAAGTAATGCTTAAAGTAAATGCTCAAAGTAAAGAGAGGAGAGGAAACGCGGCGATGTTTTGCCGAGGTATCGGAGAGTCGCCACTCCCCACTAGTCCTCGTTGGAGCACCCGCGAAAAGGTATAGCTCCCCCTTGATCCGCGCAAGGATCAAGTGCTCTCTACGGGTTGATTCTTCGACACTCCGTCGCGGTGAATCACCCACAACCGCTCACAATCTTGAGTCGGGTCACCCACAAGCTCTCTGGATGATCACCGAACTCCCAATCACCACCAAGCCGTCTAGGTGATGGCGATCACCAAGAGTAACAAGCACGAACTCTCACTTGACCACGCGAAGCCTAATGAGAAGATGGATGCACACTTTGCTATTCTTGATTCACTAATGAGGTTTCACTCTTGGATTCTCAAATCACAAACACCTCACTAGGACCTTGCTCTTCGTGGCACTCACAAGTGTGTTTCTCAGCTGTTGGAATGAGCAAAAGTACCCCCTCACACGAAGGGGTGAAGTATTTATAACAGCGGCTGAAAAACGAACCGTTATGTGCCTCTGCGGGGTGACCGGACGCTCCGGTCATTCTGACCGGACGCTCCGGTCAGTTCAACCCGTACACCAGTGTTTAAGTGTTGACCGGACGCAGGCAGGGTCCGGTCGACACTGACTGGAAGCGTCCTGTCGCATTTTTCCCTCACTGGACGCTTACTGTACTCGACCGGACGCTGAAACCCCAGGGTCCGGTCAGTACTGACCGGACGCGTCCGGTCGCTGATTCACTTCTCTAGAACCTTACTGGAGTCGACCGGACGCTGCCTCTCAGTGTCCGGTCACTTGACCACTCCAGCGTTCGGTCGCACCGAACGCAATCTCTTGATCAAATGAACTGACCGGACCCTGCGGCCAGCGTCCGGTCGCACCGGAGCCAGCGTCCGGTCAGTATTTGACCCTCCATTCACCTTCAACTCTCGATCATGTGTGAATGAAGTTTGCTCCATTGGATCTTAGGCATATGTAGGAGCTACCTAGAGCTAGTTTAAACAAATGTGCACCACACCTAACTCACTAGACTCATCTAGGTCAAGCTACCCGTCCATACCCCCTTAATAGTACGGCCAAAGGAAAAACAAAGTCCTAAACTACTCTAAGTGTCACTCCAACTCCAATTGACACTTAGAACTAGTCATCCTTAACCTTGTCGTCCATCCTTTGAAAATCAAAATGATTTCCATCGTAGGGGCATGACCACCACGATTGCTCAATCGATCTCCATTACCATGACCTAACTTAATTGCCTCTGCAAAACACACATTAGTCATAGTAATCGTGTATTGTCATTAATCACCGAAACCCAACAAAGGGGCCTAGATGCTTTCAATCTCTCCCTTTTTGGTGATTGATGACAATACCACCTCGAGTATGTGAAAGAGTGAGGTTTTTGACGGGATTGGTTCATATAAGCTTTTGTCAATAAGAACAAAAGAGTGAGGCAAGCTTATATGACCCAAGCCAACATGGTGTACTCAAAAGATATGAAATAAGCATGAGTACAAGTAACAAAGCTCATTTGCATCGGAGTATAAACGCGGAAGCAAAGGCAAATGAGCATAGCACAAGTGATATGACATATAAATAATGTAAAGTAGAGAGCACACATGTCATATATCACAATCACGTAGATATCACTATCACATAGATATAATAATATGCATGAAAGTAACCCATGAATGCATAAAAGTAATAGTGTATCACACAAATGAAACTCCAAATGTATAAAATAAGCTAATAATAGATAACTAGCTCCCCCTAAATGTCGCTCCCCTGAGTCTACATACTCGAACCCTCTCCCCCTTTGGCGTCAAACACCAAAACCTAGGGGCTGGTCGGCGGGGCTGCAGCGGACGAGTCGGGCGCTGAAGAACGAGGAGCAAGCTGAAACTAGGCAGCATCATCATCTGACCCGGAGCTCTGTGCTGACTGACCCTCTGTGGCTGGAAGCATCGCTGAAGCGGTCTGGGTCTGAGCTGGGGCAGGTGCTGCCTGTGATGCTGCTGGTACATCTGTCGTAGGATCTGATGATGCGACTGAAGAAGGGAGCCTCTGAGTAGTCACTACGACAGGAGCTGTTGTAGAAGGACCTAGGGCATTCATATGTGGCGATGTAGGCATCCCTGTCAACTCGCTGAAAGATGCTCCAAGACTCCTAGAGACTGACGTGTTGGGCACAAATAGCGAGGATGACTGATCCGGTGTGAAGCCCATCTGAAGTGGAGTGAACTGCGGGGCCACCACTGGTGATGCTAACCACTAGGACACATGTACTAGAGGTGAAGCAAACTGAGCTGGAGGCTGTCCCTGACTCTGGAGCCCACTAGGATGTACAGCTGGAGTCATCGTAGTGGTGGCAGGCTAAGCAAGCTGGGGCGAAGGCTGTGGCTGTGGAGCCCCAAGAGCTGTCACTACATGCTGCATGAATCCCATGAGCTACTGCTGCATAAGTAACTACTGCTGATGCATCTGCTGCTGCTGCTGTTGGAGGACCTGCTGCTGGCGCTGGAACTCGTCCTGACGAGCCTGAAACTATGCAAAGTTGGCAGCGGTCTCCTGAGCCTGTCGTGCCTGATCCTGCTGCATCCGCTCAAGAATAGCAATGAGAGCGGGGTTCGTCTGTGGTGCAGGTGGAGCT